CCAGAAGCTGGCGACTGATCTGCCTCGCCCGGGAAGAGCGCAATGATGGTGCCAACTTGGGCCAGTGAAGCGACGTCCTCCACAACTAGACTGAAGAACCAAAAAATGACAGCAACTTGTCTGTTTCCCTTCCCCCAATTCCCCAGCACTGTTCCCATCCCACCAATTCCCCAAGAAGCGGCAACACTCAAAATGGTAATAGCTGTCTGCATTCAGTTGGTATCTTTTTTCCCTTTAAGTTAGTACATTTTATCATTTAAAAATTAATTCAAATTTCAAATAAAACAAACTACTACTTATGAATGAAAGGCAACCTCTATCCAAAAGGAAGGCATCATTCTCTTTTCAAGCCTGAGCTTGAGCCTGCTGCCGCCACCCCCCAAAAAGGCCACTTGGACCCAGGGATTCAAGCACACAGGAGAAATGACATAGCTGCTCTGAACTTCCTGTGGGTCAAGAAGCCCCTACCCTAAGCCCTTCAGAGATCCCCCCCCCAGAGAAAAGGGACACTAGCTGAAGGTCACACCAGGTTGGCAGATGCGATGGACACGACACTGGGAGATGTGTAGGGCAGAGGACTGGACTAGGGATCCCACGGTGTTTCATCCCGTTAGGACCGTGTTTTTAAAGTGTGAGTGAATGGTGACAACAAAATGAGTTTCAAGTGGATCCAGGCACACGTTTCTGATTCCAGCGGTTATGAATTTATTTGTATGGCCACCTTCTATTTATGGTAAGCACTGCTGGTTTTCCATTTTACTGGAGTGAGATAACGTTCCTTTTTAGTATGTGTTAAGTTACAAAAGAGAGAGTTGATGTAAATAAATGTATTAAGTGATTGTATAACTGGTCTAGGGATGGCCAAAATTATAAAGGGGGTTTGTGAATGCCTGGGATTTGGGAAACATTGCTTTCATTGATGCCTGTTTCCCATGGAAGAAAAATTATCCCCTATCATTAGAAATTAGTGTAAGTACCAGGGAATTGCCTTAGGGTCTGGTCTTCACCATCAGTTTCAAAAATATGCACAGATACCCTGACAGAGTGTGTTTATTAACTGCACATGTGCACACCCTACACCAAGGCATATGGTCTCCTTCAAACCACTGGGCTGAGTTTATGAATAGCATATTTGTACATGTACTATATCTGGGCATGTGTAAAAATACATACCTTGGGCATAATCAAGTTGCTGTTTTAGACATTTCTTTATTCCCTCCACACAATGTGCTGGGACATGTGAGCCCAGCTTATTTATAGACGAGGATCACTTTTCAGAGGACTTGGGGGCAAACACTCCCAGGGCTCAGGAACTGACAGCTCCAGACTCCTGGGAGAGGCCTGTGGCTTCATGGAGTGGCGCCTGAACTAGATGTTGGGAGGCGAGGTCTGAACCCTACTGTTGGCTGAGAAACCTCGGGGAAGTAACCTCTCTGCCCTGAGCCACAGTTGGACCACCCGATTTCTAAGCCCACCTGCAGCAGGAACTTCTTCAGACGCTGTGGCTGCCCCACCCCAACCACCAAATCACGAGAGGCTTGTGTGTCATCCACGCCAGGGTTCTGGTGTCCAACACTCTCGGTACTAGCTGTGTGACCTGGGCCAAGGACTTCTGTCTCTGATCTTCAGCTCCCTCATTTAACAATCCAGATCATAATATCTGCTCATCACCAGGTGTACAGACCTGGAAGGATGTTCGTTATGTGTTACATGAAAAAAAGTAAAAGTTGCAATATAACCCCATTTTTGTTTTGGAAGAAAAAGTGATTAAACGAAAAAGTATGTACAATATAATCCAAGTTTTTGAAGAGAATATTTATAAATAGGTAGGGGGAAAAGATCAGAGGACAGACATCAAAACTAACAGTGGCTTTCCATGGGTGACAGGATGAGTAATTTCTGTTCTTTTTTATTTATGTGAATTTGAAAAATGCATCATCTAGAAATGTAAACTAAAAGAGGACAATATGAAAAATAAGAAACACCTACCTTGAAGGATGACGGGAGTGATAAAGAGAAAACAGAGTTCTCATTAAGTGGTGCCTATTGTGACTTTCAACACGGGGAGGTTTTTCTGCTCTTTGCCAGAAGTAGGCTCTCACGTGGTTCTTGGCCAGCGACTCCCAGGAAGCACCCACCAAGCAGCATTGAGAAGCCCCACATTTGGAAGGCATAGAACTTAAAGTGTCAGTGCTAGGAAGGCAGGGTCAGCAATCCCATGGTCCACTCCCTGGAATGTACGTTCAGGGGATGCTGCAAGAGGCGCTCTGGGCAGATGAGTCTAGGAAGTGTTTGGTTAAACAAGCTAAACAGGTTTTCCGTACAGGACTTCTCAGGGCCTTGTCGCCCCAAGAGGGAGATTTATAGGCAGTGATGTATAAATCTGACCTTCTTTGACTACAGAATACCTTTTTTTCCCCAAAGAGCATCTTTAGGGACTAATGTTCAAAACACACACACACACACACACACACACACACACACACACACACGCTTTGGAAAACCATAATCTAATCCAACCCTTTCATCTCCCACTACCCCCTTTAATTTTATAGATGGGGAGAATGAAACTGAGAGACGTGCTGAAGACAAATGGGGCTAACTGATCACCGAAGTCAATAGTCGCTTATATCTTGACCCCTCGCCCTTCTTCCTTCCTCTCAACTGTGACAGGGATGCGTCCTGCAGCTTTTCTACCTGTAAGTTTCTCCTATACTTTCACTCCTACCTAAACATAGGCAAAAGTCAGAGGAGCTTGGACAACTCAACATACTCAAGACAGGATACTCCCAGGGTAGGGAGATCTGGAAACCAGTGTTCTGAGCCTAAGGTACTCCACCTCCACCAGAAGAGAATGAGCTGTTAATTACAGCTAGAGAGATATAGAGAGAGGACTGTAGGGCGGCTGGGAAAGGCCAGTGGAGCCACATTTCCAAAGATGTAAGAATCCATGGGGTGACAACCAAGTCATGAGACCGGCTCAGAGACCACACATGCAAATGAGCCTTGTGCTTCCTGGTCATGCTGTAGGTACATCTGGGTCTACCCAGGAGGCCACATGAGGGGTCAGGTCCTGGGTCTAGCTTCTGCTTCTCTTCTGCCTTAGAAACTGTTCCCTGGCATTGCTCCATCTGCCCGCTGCCTTCACGGGGAGAGAGGAGAGTGAAACAGGAAGGACTTCCACAACCCACTTATCGGATGCCACACCCCACTGGATGGAACTGAGAGAGGAAGAGAAGTTACGAATCCAGAGTAAAACTCCAGAAGGACCTTGCAAAAGAAATACCTTTCCAGCAGCCTCGGAGCCCTGAACGAACAATAAACATTTTGCCAATGACTCATAGTGTGGCCCTGGATAAAACACAGCTCCTCTCAATAAAGCAAATGGTTGGACTAGAGATGCTCTGAAGGACTCTAACACTACTCCCTACCCAAGCTCCACAGCTTGGGAGGGTGGCTTTCCTCCCAGGGCGCAAAAACTTCCTGCCCAACTTCTCTTAGGGACCCGAAGTGAGCTGAGAGTCAGGCAATGGTTGGCTTCTAAGTCAGTTTGAGCAAATGGAGTAATCCTGAATCTAAGAATCCCCAAACCCTCCTTGGCCTGCCCACTGCAACCCACTCTCCACTCCCCTACAGGGCACTCACCGAGGCTCCTCAGGCACTGTCACCTGGTCCTTCTCCCAAGTAATGACGGGTGCTGGCAGCCCTTCAATGTGGCACTCAAATCGAGCTGTCCCATTCTCCTCCACTGTCTGAGACTCAGGGTGCAGAGAGAAGCCTGAGAGTGCTGGGGATGAGCACAGTGACACACAGGCAGGGGTAGGAGACGGCAGGGGAAAGAGAGGCCACACCAAGCACAGACAGTGAGAGGCAGAGAGAGAGAGAGAGAGAGAGAGAGAGAGAGAGAAGGAAGGGAAGGGAAGGGAGGGGAGGGGAGGGGAGGGGAGGTGATAGAAACACAAGCAAAGCAAATTCAGACAAATGGAGACAGTTGGAGAGAGGCCACCAGAGGATAAGAAGTAGTGATTACTGGTCAGATGTTAGATGCTATGGGCAGAATGAATTCCAAAGTCACCCACCCTGACCTCAGCATCATGGTCAGACTACAATATGATGCACATTTTTTCTGACCTTAAAATTATTTCACAGTGATTTGTGCCTCCTGAGAGCTTCTCAAGGGGTGGGCTGGACAATAGGGCTTGACTCCACACACTCCACCTACTGTGGGGTGGGAAGCTCCCTGGGGAAGCACCTTTGTGCCCCTGCCACTCTTAAAAGCATCGCTGGCAGGCTTCCTGGAGGAGAGCACAACTTTAGACTCTCAAACTCAAAGGGAAAGAAAAGGAGGAAGAACAGAGGAATGGAGAAGGGCTAATGAGCAGTGAGGCAGACAATACCAGGGAGAGACCTACTAAGTAGGATGAGGGGCAAGGAAAGGGGGAGTGGGCTCAAGAGATAGGCCTTTGTGCAGGTAACTAACCAGGATCCCACTTCCCGCACCCCAGGCCTCCTGGGTCTCAGCTCAGCCCCCAGATGCCAGCACTTACTGGCGAGCTTGACCACTGCAGCCTGGCTGGCTAGCACTCCAAGGGGGCCATGAGCCAGGCAGGAATAGCTGCCCTCAATGACATCTGAGGCCCCAGGGGCTCCCTCGTCACTGCCATCAGATGCGAGCGGCTGGGACAGCCACAGGGAGCCATTGGGTAGCAGGCGCAGGTGGTCATGCTCCAGCAGGGCACCTCCATCTTTGCTCCACGTGACGCTGGTAGGGGGTCCAACAGCAGCAGCCCCTAGACTACAGTCCAGTACGGCGGCCTGCTCTGGGCCCAGGATCACTTGCAGTGGCCCCCTTCCACAGCTCAGCTCCACGGTTGACTCCTGGGGCAACGGCAGCTCCCCTGCATAGAGGAAGGGGTACCAGGGCCATCGGTGTGTGTCCTCCCGCCTCCCCCATCCCCCAGCTCCTGAATCACCCACCCAGGGGCTGGGGCAAATTGTGGAGAAAGAGGTCTCACGGAAAAGACCTGAGTCTGGATCCTGGCTATGTCCCTTTATTAACTGTGATCTTGGGCAAATTGCAGTACTTCTCCGTGCCCATCTTCCCCAGCTGCTCAGCATCCTCATCCGCTAAAATACACAGTGCTTAGCAGTATAATTCATAATAGGCAAAATGTGGAAAACAATACAAACGCCCATCACCTGATGAATGGATAAATACACTACTCGGCCATCGAAAGGAGCGAAGAACTGACACATGCTACAACGTGGAGGAACCTTGAAAACGTTATGTTAAGTGAAAGAAGCCAGTCACAAAATGCCACATATTGTATGATCTCATGTCTGTGAAATGTCCGGAAAAGGCAAATCCATAGAGACAGAAAGTAGATGAATGGTTGCCAGGGACTGGGGAGAGGGAAGAATGAGGAGGGATGGTTAAGGGTTATGAGGTTTCTTTTTGGGATGATGAAAATATTCTAGGATTAGATAGTGGTGATGATTGCACAACCTTGGGAATATGCTAAAAACCACTGACTTGTACACTTTAAATGGTGAATTTCATAATGTGTGAATTGTATCTCAATAAAAAAAGACACAGTGATTCCTTCCTTATGGGTCTATTGTGAGCATTGAATGAGATGGTGCGTGGGAAAGGAGTCCAGCCCAGTACCTGACCTGGCACAGAATTGGGGCTCAGTGACGTCATTCCCTCCCCTGGAACCTTACAGATCATCTTGACCACTACAACCCTACCCGCGTCTGCCCCAGTGGCTGGAGAAGCTAAGCACTCCTTCCTGCAGTTCGTTTCCCCAAGACCACGCAGCCAGCCAGAGCCTGGTCTCCTGACCAAGCCAGGCATCTTTTCTCTCCAGACGCCCCAGCAGATCCTGCAGCTCCAGCACTGCCCTTGCCACAAAGGGAAGAGTAGGGGAACAATGGAGGAAGGAAATACCATCCCAGGGTTTAAACAAAAACACACGAAGGCCGGGCTGGGCCGGGCTGAGTGGCGCGTTGGTTAAGAGCTGGCTTGGGATGTCAGAGGGCCCCAGTTCGGATCCCACATATGAGGGCCAGTGACACTGCCCTCCACAGCTAAGATGCTGAACAACAGCTCAACCTGGAGCTGGGCTGCCGTGAGTCGCCGTAGGCTGCAGCCCCTGTGGCAGTGGGTTGCCATGGGCTACCGTGTGTAGCCAGCAGCCAACATGAGCGGCCAGCAGCCGCAGTGAGCAGCTGTCCAGAAGCCAGCGACTGATGTGCCTCGCCCGGGAAGAGCGCAATGATGGTGCCAACTTGGGCCAGTGAAACAACGTCCTCCACCAACTAGACTGAAGAACAAAAAAGGACAGCAACTTGTCTGTTCCCCTTCCCCCAATTCCCCAGCACTGTTCCAATCCCCTCAATTCCCCAATAAAAATCTTAAAAAAAAAAAAAACCACACACGAAGGCCAATGTTTATTATTTTAACCAACATTTCAGCAGCACCCAGGAACCATTATTCATAGAGAAATGGTTGGGTCTCCCAGTTGTGTCTCCCAGAAGGTTGACCTGCTGCCTCTCTGACCCATAAAAAAAGCTCAGTGACCCCAGGTCCCTTCTTATCCCTTGGCTTGACTTCTTCCTTCAAAGCAGAATGACATGTCTGACAGTGAACCAGGGACAATGGCCCATGCTTATTACAAGGCAGGTCTGGGCTGACAGAGCCACGTGGGGCATGCAGAAAGAACAATGCCTAGGGATCAGGGATCCTCAGTTCTAGACCTGGCTCTGTCACAGTCTTGCTGTGTCGCCTTGGGCCAGTTACTTCTCCTTCTCGCCCTTAGCTTACTCAAGTATAGCAGGTGATGTCTGAGATTCTATGATTTTAGGAATGAACTGGACATACCTATTGCTGAAGAAATACAGAACATCATTTAGACACACAAATTGTAGACACCACCTTCCACACCTGAACATATGCACCCCAGTCTCGGCCACACTCGCTGAAAGCTGGATACATATATGCCCACACTTAGAATCTGTCCCCAGGCTCTCTTTCCACCACCCTCACAAAAGAACAAGACTGAGGGGAGAAGAGAAATCCTGACTAGCTGAGACAAGGAGGCCAAGGCAGAAGCCAGGGCTCTGATGCTGCAGTGTGAATGGTGGACAGACAGATGGGGTCTGAACCAGGCATCTGCCTTTCTTAATGCATCGGAAAGCCTCCACTGGCACCTCCAGCTACACAGCTGGGATCAGCAGTTCCAGTGGGTGCTGAGAGGAGAAGGCAGCTCTTGCTCTCACCCAGTTTCCATTCTAATTGGGGAAACCGAATTGGCATTCATATCGTCAGAGGCCATTTGCTGTGGTGGAAAGAGCATTTGACTTTGGCACAGAAGATCAAGGTTCTAATCTTGCTCTTTCACCTATCAGCTGTATGACAAGCCACTCAATCTCTCTGGGCCTCAGTTTTCACATCTGTAAAATAAAGATGATACTACCAGGCCTGTGAAGATGAAAAAAGATGGATGTACGAAGGTCTGACAATTAAGTTCACGAACGCATCCTAGAAAAAGTGCTATATACCTCATTGCTAAATATCACTATGATCACCTTTGAAGTACTCCCCTTGGGAAGCTATGCACTGACGCCAGCGCCTAGTCCACCCTTCAAAGCAATTTTGAAACTTTTTTTCTGGAATGGCCATCAGAGCTGTTGTATTATCTTCGATGTCATCAAATGTCTTCCTTTCAATATTTCCTTTATCTTCAGGTAAAGAAAGAAGTCATTTAAAAAAAAAATAAATAAATGGGAAAGAAAAAAAGAAGTCATTGGGGGCCAGATCAGGTGAGTAGGGAGGGTGTTCCAATACAGTTATTTACTGGCTAAAAACTCCCTCCCCTCACAGACAGTGCCGTGTGAGCTGGTGCATTGTCGTGATGCAAAAGCCATGAATTGTTGGCCAAAAGCTCAGGTTGTCTAACTTTTTCAAGCAGCCTTTTCAGCATTTCCAAATAGTAACCTTGGTTAACTGTTTGTCCAATTGGTAAAAATTCATAATGAATAATCCCTCTGATATTAAAAAAAGGTTAGCAACATTGTTGCAACAAGTTTGCAAATTTAATTGTCAGACCTTGTATGTCAGGGCTCCAGCCCAGAGCCTAGTGGGCATCAATTAAGGAATGGGAGCTCATTCTTTAAAGCCAGTGTAAGGAGCTGTACAAATGCTAATTTCTGTTCTTAACATCTAGTCCCTTCTATCTCTGAGGCTCTAGATTCTAGGATTCAAACTCAGGCAAGCCCGGGCTCTCAGCCCAGTGGCTTCCAATTGCCCTATTGCAGCCGCTGAGCAGTTGGTTTGAGTTTCAGGGGGAGAAAAGCCCCACATGACACGAATCCCTGAGCCCTCTGGCAGCCTCCCCACCCCCCAAAGCATGTCTGAAGCTTGGAAAATCCCCTGCCGCGCTGAACAAACAATGTGAACAGTTGGGGACCGAGCAGCTGCTGGGTATGTCAGCAGCCTGGGCTCTGGAGGGCAGGACTGCAGCCAGAGGGGCCGGGTGGCTGGCTGGGGAGGCCAGAGGAGGCTCCGATTCCCTTCTGAATATTCATGGATCAGCAGATGTCTGGCTTCCTCCACCTCTGAGGAGCCCAGCACCCAACAAGGCAGAAGTGGGAAACCAAGGGATGTACATGCAGAGTGAACCAGGGACCTCTCAGAGAGTACAGGGCTATGCCTAGAGCCCAAGCTGGTGCATGTGGGTGGAAATATCTGTGAAGCCTGAGACTCCTCACTTTATAAATGGGGAAACCGAGGCCCAAAAGGAGGGTCTTAGCTCTCTGGGAGACAGCTGCTTATGAATAAGAGGTTTCTCTCTGCCTCAGTGCCCAAGCCAACTTCTATGCCTAGCACACAGAGGCTCAGCTTGGGCACCAGCCCTCCAGAAAGCTGCCCCTGCCTTCCTCAGGTGAAGTTTTTTCTGAGTCTCACATCACATAGCCACTTTGCAATCCATCTTCCTTCACACCGACACATGGACGATGGGAAGTGGTAGGGAAGCCTTGACCTGGAGTCGGAGTCCTGAGGTCATCATGTCTTATATGACCTTGGGTCCACGACTTTCCTTCTTTCAGCCTCAGTTTCCACAGTCTTAAAATGAAGAGTCTCCCCATTTCTCATTTTCACCAAAATTCTCCCATCGGCAGAGGACAGCGTACTTAGGAGGCTTGCCGACTGCCTGAAATGGCTTTATTTTAAAACTCTGGCACATTTTGCATTCTGCTCCATTAAACAACAATGTTTGTTTTAATACAAATGTGGTTCCTACACCACCAAATCTTTTCGTAAAAGTGATGCTTTGGTGAGTGGGCCTTGTTTGTCCAGTGGCTTTGTGGCCACCTCTTTCCTGCAACCCCCCCAGCCCACTGCCATGGCTGACCCCCAAAGCCCCTCCCATGAGCATTTCACAGCTGTCCCTCTCAGGACTGGGGTAGACACACAGTGGACACTTGCTGCCCGCCAGCTTTCTGCCTTGAGGGGGCCTCCCTCTTCCACAGTCCTTCCTTCTGTGGAAGGTGAGACTCTGCCAGAGACACAGAGTTTCTATGCCATCTCTCAGTCTCTTTTTTTTCCTGACAGATTATTTTACCCACTTACAGGATAAATTAGATTTTAGGAGGCCAATTAGAGCCCAGACAGAAAAGAGATTCGCTGCTGAGCCCCAGGGCCAGCTCAATGCTGTTTCATGAAATTAGTGGGGCCTGACCAGAGCCAGGGTTCCATTTTTCAGTGAATTCTCAGGAAAGAGGCAGGTGGGGGGAGGGGAATAAAGCTGAGATGCCTCCTTAAATAAGCCAAGAACTTGCCACAAACATCAATGCCTTGTCATTTCTGAATTTCAGGGCCCAACAGATTTATAAT